TTATTAACAACATTTTTTCTCCGTCTTATAAAATTTCAATTGAATGAAAAATAATTTAAGTCTTTCAACTAAAGGTGGGCGCGGGTCTAATTTTTTATTTCAGGCCCGCCCGCTCACGGTGGCAATAAAAAAATTCACGCCCATTCACGCCTACCACTAAAAAATTTTCGACCCGACCCGCCCGCTCACGACAAGCAATATTTTGATTCACGTCCATCACGCCCGAAAATTCACGGTGTTTTTAAATTTTTCAAAACTATTGCTATAATTTCACACTTTTATTTCATAATCATTAATAACAAAAATAAATACAATCTATAAATCGAAATTTATTTAGAAAAAGAAGAATGTCCATCTTTTTTTATTTCAATTGTGTACGCCTTTCCTCTAATAAGAGATTGGCTACAGAAAATAATCTTTCACTAGAAGCCGAACTTGCAGCTGACAAATTTTACTCGATAATTTTCTCAAAAAAGGAAATGAATATTCCTGCTTAAACTTCAAAATATTGTTTTGTTATTTATCTAATATGAATCTTTTAAGTTCATCCTCACAGCTTTCATCGGTGATGTTGATGCATCATATCATCTAGAAATTCTCTAAATTTTTTATTTAGAATATATGGTCTTTTATGAGAATTAGGAAAGTGATAGTTGGTATTGACCATTTAGAATATACGGTTTTTTACGAGTTTAGGATAAGTTGGGAAAGTTATAAATGATAGTTGGCATTGACTTATGCATATCATCTAATTCATTTTTAAGATTGTTTTATATATATCATTTTCTTCTTTTATTAAAAACTTAAGTCTTTTGAAATTCGGATCTAGAATTAAGCCTACCTTATGTAGTGGCTGCATAATAATCTTTTAAAAGAAATCTTGTTCTGTATTTTAAGGTTTTGATTATTATTGTATCACGTTCAGAAGGTTAACAAAATTTTATTAATTTTTGTTTCCATAGACAAACTTCATTTATTGTGGGACGAGAATCTGCTCTCAGATTATCCGAGCATTCTTTAAATATTGATAAAAATTTATCTAACTCACGTATGATGCTGATCTCAATTGTGGCTAATCTTTTTAATTCTTGCTTGCTAAACAAGTACACCTGTATTTAAGAAACTCTGTATCATGATATACAGAGTTCCATCTAGTTATTCTCGCTATTGCATCTTGTTTAAGGGTGTGGCTTAGTTTGATATTAGCTGTAGATTGTTTGAAATATTGTACTATTTTTTTTACGCCATTTATATTTATGGCTATTTCAGTTAAACAATTGTCAAAAATATAATGCATAATATTATTTAGTATATGGCATATACATGCAAGCATTTCGTCATCTTTGAATGCACTTATGAGATTTTCTCCGTTATCACTCACAACACATTTATTTAAGTATTTTCTACTTCTGTATATTCTCCTAAAATTGAATTGATTACACTTTTATTTTGACGTTTTTTTCATCCATTGCCCTTGTGGCCAAAACAAATGTTTTTAATTTAAAATCCTTAATGATAATATGTCCTATAATGGTTAAAAAACTTAGATTTTTATAGTCATCAGTCCAAATATCAGTGATTATGGACAAGTAATTATTATTGATCATGCTTTTAAATTTAAATTTTATTTCATGGTATATTTTTGGACCTATAGTATTCATGAGAGTTTTCCGGTTCACAACTTTTATATTTTGTTATCCATATGTAACACCAACATTTATCTCTTGGCCTAGCTTGGAAAATCTTTCACTTGATATAATAAAACAACTTTAAAAATTATAAATAAATTCGACTATATGCATAAGACAATGCCAAATATCATTTTTATCTTTTCTAATTCATCCTGTACACATAAAAAAACCGCAAATTCTAAATGAAACATTTGGAGAATTTTAGATTATTCTAACTCTGATGAGGAGCAATACCTACCGATGAAAGTTGTAAGGAACTTTAAAGATTCAGCGTTCAAAGGCAAATAACAATGAAAATATTTTGAACTTTTAGGAAATTTCAATTCCTTTTTTGGGAAAATTTTCTACTAAAATTTTATTAGCCCTGGCAAGTTTGACTTCCATTGAAAGATTAATTTTCTCTTCCAAAGCTTATTAGAGGAAAGACGAACACAATTGAATAAAAAATATGGATATTCTTTTTTTTTTAAATAAAATTTTGATTTATAAATGATATTACTTTGTTTGTTATTAATATGGAATTAAAGAAATAAAAAACTATGATAAAATAATTTCAAAAAGGCATAAAAGTAGCAATAAAGTTTTGAGAAATTTAGAAAAAAAATAAAAATCGTGAATTTTTCTGGCGGACTTGATAAAAATATTGTCTTATGTGAGCGAGAGGGACGGGTTAAAAAATTATTAGCAGCAAGCGTGAAATAGCGTGAATTTTTTTGGCACGGGCGGGTGGTGAATAATAAAATAGGCTGCCGACCTCTACTAGAAATATCTTATTTTATTAATTGACTTAATAAATTAATTTAATTTTGAAATGAAATGAAATGAAATAGGTGAATTATGAATGATAAGTTTCATTGTATAATCATATTCAAATGCTCTATTAATTAAGATCTGATTTCTTTTCTTATATTTACTATAAAAAAGTTATTAAAATTAAATTACTTGATATTAATAAATAATAAAATAATATAAATTAATAATTATATTCTATTAATATAATAAGAACGGTATAAATCTTTTAATGTTTTTATATTAGCAAAATCTATCACCCAAGAATACTCACTTTCGGTGGCTAAAATCAACAAAACAAACAAATATTAAGAGTAAAATAACATTATATTTATTCCAGGAGTTATATCAACTTTTGGAAACTTCTGCCATGAGGCACTTTCTTTCCTGGAGAAGATTGGAAGAAATTACCTAACTCACTGGCTATCCATATAATACTTCTACCTTCGTCAGAACATAGTTTTAGGAATTTGCCATTCAAATTTTTTATTCGCAGCTCTCTATAACCCACCGTTTTTATCGTATGTATTTACAGCCTGTTCAGTAGACATGTAGTTTTTATGTGTTATATTTAATATTTGTTAATATAGAAATAGTTATTATGCTAAATTAATTAATATTCTATATACAGGGTTTCCCATTCAAAAAAGGAAAAGTCTTAATCAAAAAAAGGAAAAGTTTCAATCATAAAAAGAAAAGGTCCGATCAAAAAGGAAAAGGGTCAATCATAAAGGGAAAAGGTTCAATCAAAAAAGGATAAGGTCCAAACAAAAAAGGAAAATTCCCCAAAAGAAAGGAAAAAGTTCGATTTTAAACCCCTCCCCCACCCCCAGATAAAGTCATGCCTATCCAGACCAAGAATGAAGACTGTCAAACGATATTAAAATTAACTTTTATTTATACCCATATCAAAAAAAAATATTTTTTACCTTCCCTCTCCTTACACCCCCCCCCCCCACCCCCAGATCAACCCATCCAGACCAAGAATGAAGACTTTCAGTCAAACCTTAAAATTAGCTTTTATTTGATACCCATATCGATATTTTTTGTTGATAAAAATATTTCTGATTCCCCTTCCCCAAGACCTAGACCCGCCCATTATGGGAGAGAGATTACCTCCAGTTGAATAGATCTTTTGATTAGCTATCGATTGATACCCTATATTAGATATATCTTATTTCATATGGCCAAAAAAACAACATTGAAAATTAATGAATAGCAAAAAAATTAAAAAACGAAACGCGCGGAAAACGCTTTTAAAATAAAATTCTTCTATATCATGGTTCAAACGCGATAATGCCGTATAGTTCTTTATCCTTTAAAAAATTGTAATTTTAAAGGGATCCCTTTAAATCCCGTGAAGATCCCGGATAGTTATGATCCCTTTATAAATTACGACATATGTATGATGAAAAAAAAACGTAAAGAATTGTTAAAAAATGGACTTAAATATATAAATTATTTTTAAAAATACAAAAGAATTATCAAAAATGAGAAGAAGAAAAATTGAGAAAAAATATAGTAAGAAAAATAAATTGAGAAAAGAAACAAATAAAGTAAAGATATCGCAAATAGTTAGAAATAAAATAAGAAGGAATGACAAAAATAAATAAAAATTTAAGAAAAATTGAAAAATTTTTTTAAAATTTTCCTTTTTTGAATGGGAATTTTCCTTTTTTGATTGACACTTTTCCTTTCCTTTTGGGAATTTTCCTTTTTCGATTGACACTTTTCCTTTTGTGATTGGACCTTTTCCTTTTTTGCTTGACACTTTTCCTTTTTTGATTGAACCTTTTCCTTTTTTGATCGAACTTTTTCCTTTCTTTTTGGGAATTTTCCTTTTTTGATTGAACATTTTACTTTTTTGATGACTTTTCCTTTTTTGAATGGGAAACCCTGTAAAAATTTTATATTTTCAAAATAATGATAATTAGAGAATATAATTTAATAATTTTTATCTTGAAAGTTGAATTTTTTGTTTTTTAATATTATATATCTTTTTAATCACTTAGGCCGTGCCCTAGGTTGACTTATACTAAATAGCAGAGCAAAAAAAATATCTTAAAAAGGAAAAAACCAAAAAAAAACGAATAAAAAAGCATAACCAAAAAAGCAAAAAACGAGAATAAAATACGAAAAGTAACAATGCCGCCAAATACTTAAAACAAACCAAAATAGGGAGGCCTAGTCAAAAGCTTTTTAGCCTATGCTAAAAAGTAATTAAGTATCAAGATTAAGTCGACCTAAGACACGGCCTTAGTACTTTTTTCGGGTAATGATGTATAGCGTAGAAAATTATTCTTTTGAATGGAATTACATATTATAAGAATTAAACTATTAGTTATTAGATTAAATAGAATACCATTAATAATTTGTGTTACTTTATTGTTTATCCTGTAATTTTATTAGAAATAATTTATACATGCATTTGCACTTCACTTAGGCATTTGCAGTTTAGTCAAACTGCTTAATTATTATCTTTAGATAGATTTTCAATTCAAAATTATTTATAAAAATAACCGTTATTTTGAGAATATATTACATCCATTGTATCTTCTGAAACTTTTTTGCGTTTTTTATTGATATTATGTTCTCCGCAGGGTACTAGTTCATTGCTTAATTTGAAAAGTTATATAGCTACAGAATGTAAATCTCACTTTAAATTTGCTGTTTTAAATTTTGGTACTTGAGATTTTGAATAATTTTTAATAAAGCTTTCATCTAAAATACCATCATTACCTTTCTCTTTAGCCGGTGCTTCAAGTAAGAGCTGCGACATTTTGTTAAGACTTGGATACAACCCAGAAGATTTGTTTATCTGCATATATTCGTTAGAAAGAATGCTGGGAATGTCATAAATATTTTTTATCACTTCATTATTAGTGGAAATTTCGATGTTATTTTTATTACGGTACGTCACCGGAACGAGCGTATTAACTTTATCTTTAATTAGACATTCTCTGGGGTTTAGATCAAACCGACTGTTAAATGCGTCTGCATTCGCCAAATTTCTAGTATTCGTATTATTAAAACAATCATTGTTTGAGTTCACTAAGTTAACATCATCATTTGGACTTCTTCCCTGTAGACTATATATCATACAATTGAAGAAAACATATTTATCTATTTATCATAAAATGTGTATATTACTATATCTTAATATTAAATCTATATAATTGGATTGATGAATAAATTTGTTATTTAATCCAATTTCTTAGTTTTAAAATAAAACTATACAATAAATTTTATACCTGCTAGGATAGTTCAGAATTAATTTTCCATTGTCTATATTTTGAGAATATTTAATGTTGTTTTGCATATTAGAGTTTGAATTTGTATATTTAGTAGATGCCCAATTCTGAATTTCATTATAATTTAAATCAATTAATTGCACATCTTTAAAAATATTGACAGGATCTTGAAATTGTAATAAATGGCAATCTCTATTGGGAATCGATTGAAGTTGGTTTATGTTATTGTTGACTTGACATGCACCATCTAAAAAAAATTTAATTCTATTTCATATCATTTTTAGGTTTACCTTGTGGGGGTGAATAAGGTTCTGAACCAGAATCGGGAGGACTATCCGGCAAGTTAGATCTAATCAATTTTTGAAAATAATTATACTAAAATTAATAAGAAAATAAAGTAAAATCTGTAAATTAGAAAATAATTTTAAATTTGCACCATTTTTGAAATTATCATGGCATTTTTGATAAAATTTGTTAAATATTATTTGGATACATTTATATAATTTCTTTATTAACTTAAGTTGGGCCACTATCAAATTGCAAAATTATGTAGGACGAATGTAAAAAAAATAAGGTTAAAATGTATAGAATGACAGATGAAACTCCCCTTGAAAATTTTAATTTAGACTCTTTGTTTTAAGTGATAAATCTCAAAGAGATCTCCTGTAAAATGAAAAGGGCATCAAGCCATTTATGGCCATTTTTGTAAATTTGAGGAGCCCTTAAGTGAAGAGCAACTGCATCCGAGGACGAGGTCAAATGTTTAATTTATTTGTGATAAAGTAGAACAGAATAACTTTTGGGAAAGAAAAGAGAAAGATGACATGCTAAGGGAGGTCCACTCTGTCCACGAATTGATGGTAAATTTTAATAAATCAGGAAATTCAATTAATTCCGATATTTTGGCAGAATAATATAATTGATAAGAGATTTAAATAAAATGTATAGATTAAAAGTGGCGAACTTTGCTAAAAAATTAATTGAACTAGCATTTTAATATTGAGTTGCGGCACCTTTTGCTTTATTTATAGTTGCTATTCTTTGAGATAAATAGTTTATTAATATAATTCCTAATTATATCTTTGTTTAGCCTTGAGGTGGTAATATTTAAGTTGTTTTCTCTTATCATTGTAAGTGAGTTCAAAAAAAAATTCAAGATATGATCTTGCATTTCGCATTCATATTTTTATCTTTAAGTTCTTCTTTGAAGAATATGACTCATGACATGTTCTGATAAAATAAAATGAGGTTGGATAAAAGGGATTAATTAGCTGGCTAAACAGTCGGCTCTTAAGTTATAAGTCGAACCAGGGCAAATAGATTAATCTATTATTGCATAAATTCATTAATGTTTTTTTTAACTCATTTTTAGAGAATAATATAAATTTGTTGATAAAATAATAGCATTAAATTAAATTTCTAATATAAGAGTAGACGATATTTATTTATAATTTTAAAAAAATTACGTTTTTTTTGGCACATCGTTTGAGCAATATGAGAATCTGGTATTTTGGCCCGGCTCCTAATTCTTTTTATTCGGCCGGGTCCGCAATTTATATTTTGTATAGGTTGTTTCGTATATTTTTTTATGAATAAAAACTAAATAAATTTCCCTAATTATCGCTTCAAAAAACATCTTCAAAACCTCGGCCAGCTCCGACCCGTAGAAAAAACTTTGCACAATTTGTCCGGTCTGGTCTGAAAATATTTTTGCCCCCGGTGGGTTTTCGGACTTAAAATCTTAATCGGGCCGTTTTCAAAAATCGACCTACTACACTAACACTAGTCTGTGCTTACCTTCAATGTACACATCGATACACAGTATGGAAAAATAATTTAGTGAAATTTTTGAGAAAATATAGAAAATTGTATGCATACATTGTTAAACTGAAAAATTAATGAGGATTTTAAATATATGTGTAATTTTCAATATTTTTCAAGAATCATACAAAAAAATATTTAATTTTCTGCAAATTTGATGAAGATTCTGAATATATAAAGATATTTGCATAGTAAAAAGATAATCAACGTCCTAAAATTTATCACATTTTTTTCAATATAGAATATAATTTTTAAAATAGATAAGATTACTTTTATTTAGGGTGATCGGTCAATTGACTGAAGGAGTATTTGACCTGATCAAATACGGTCAAATACTCTAAAATATTATTGTGAATAATATTGATTTAATTAACTAATATATATTTAAAGCATTTTTATAAATATAATTAGTTTGCAATTTATTTAAAAATATATTCAATATTTGAACCATCAAGGCTTCTATTTAATTATAATTTTATAATAAAATATAATATCATATTAAAATATTGGAATTTCATTTTAAAATATAAAAATAAAATAATTTTTTTCATTAATAATTTAATTGGATCTCTATATATAAATAATTATATAATTTTGCTAAAACATGGGTTGAGAAAATTACTATTGAGTTTTACCCAAAACCTCAATTTCAGAACCATCGAACTGTTTTAAACACATATTTTCCTTAATAATCACGCCATTAGGCTAATATTTATAAAAATTTTCACAAGACATTATCGAAATGCTCGCACCAGTGTCAAATAGCATATCAATATACCTGCAGTCAATTTTCAAGTTAACCCTAGGACATTGACCCAGTCTATTTATTCCATCAGTCCTTAAAATTTCACAAGTTTTAAGGGGCTGATCGCTATATATTCCCTCTGAAATATGCATTTCATTAGAATTTAAATTTCCTCCTAAATTCAACTCGGAATTTCGAGGCTTTTTACTAATATTACTATATTTTTTAATAATATCCCGAGGATATTTTTCCCATTTAAAATTATCAACATTTTTTCTATTTGTATATTTCACAATGCTCCCAGGAATTACCATTTAAAAGCATTATTTTTCATTATATTCACATTAAAACTATAATCAACCGTTTTAACTTTATCTTCATGATAACAAACATTTTCATTAAAACCATTAAAATTATGAGAATCCCATCTCTTCTTATTATTATAATATACTTTCCTAAAATTTTTATTTCCCTGTATTTTAACTGCTATATGATTACATTTGCTATCATATAGTCAGTGTAAAGCACAATTTATAGCTATATGACCCGTCTCTTTACATTTAAAACATCACGAGACCCATCCAAATCCGATTTCAACGAATCAACTTTATTTACATCTAGGCCTGAAATCTTCCTTACGTTGGAATTTTCTCCACTAGATTTTTGCAATGGAAAACCCATTCTAAAATTCTGTTCCTTTACAATACAGGTTTTAGAATAATGACCCTTGTAACCGCATCGATTACAAATCATGTCAGTAATAATTTTTGGAAAACTCTTTCCATTCGAAATAATTCTATCACCGAATTGTTTCGTATCCCCTTGATTACTCATACTAATCAACCTAGATACATCACTATAAATATCTTTAATAGATTCTTTTATATCTTTTAATTCCTGTAGGATAACCACTGATCTCCCCACAAATTTCAAACGATCATCATTAATATCTTTCATCGTTTCACTCATTCCTGGTTTGCCGTTCTTGATTTCATTTAAAATTCCATTTAAACTACTTTCTAAGTCCGAAATTCTCTTAAAACAATTAACAGACACCAGAGTGTCCCTTTTCCAATTACCATATACCTTGGTCGCAACCAAAGTACATTTTCCACATAAAAATTTCAAAAGTATATATATTAAATATAGAATTATTATTAATCCTAATATAACTAAGTGATGACCTATATCCAATTCACTAAGGTTCTAATACAAGATTTTATAACCCATATCCTTAAAGATGGCAATTTTATTAATAAAAGTAGGCTCAGAATACTTATCAAAATACACAACCATCGCATATTACGAAATTTTACTCTAAAATTACGTTATTACAAAAAGTTATATTATATTATAAAGCCTGGGTGTTAATCGAACTAATCTAAAATAAATATTTTTCAAACTATTTTGTTAATTAAAATTCAAAAAAAAAAATTAAACAACAAAAACGTTATTATTGCGTTGTGTCCTAAGGTAACATATAATATGTAAAATAAAAAGGAGTTTTTTTTTACCTTATAATAATGAATACCCTTGAATTTCCAGGTTCGAATCCTGGGAATACGGTCAACACTTTTTAAGTATTAACACAAAAAAAATAATCTTTTGATTCCTGAATATATTCTCCGAATTTTACACTCTTTAAAAACTTTATTTCGTACTCATAAAAACAAAAAAAATATTTTCAATCAAAAAATATATATCGAAAAAATAAATTCATAATAATTATATTTTTTCTTTTTAAATTTAAAAAATTTTTCAATGATTTAATTTTACAAAAAATATATATTTTCAAAAAAATATATTATTATAATAATTATTATTTTTTTACATTAAATAATAATAATTTTTTCTCCAATCAGATGTCTACAATCCATCTGATTGACGTCTAATGAGAATATATATATATATATTTTTTTTAACATACTAAGATATTACCTACTTGGGTTTGGAATTAAAAGAGGCTATAAAGCTTCCTCCCATGCTAATCATATTTTGAAAACCCATTCAACACATTTCATAGGAACTATTTGCAGGGCCGTAGCCACGGGGGGGGGGGGGGGCCCGCCCCCCCCCCCAAAAAAAAAAATTTTTGGCCCCCAAACCTGGCCCCCAGAAAAAATCTTCGGCCCCCAAAAGTGGCCCCCAAAAATTTTTCTGGCCCCCCAAATTTGAATTTTTTTTTAGAATTGATTATTTTTATATTTTTAATATAAATTTTAAATATTTATTCAAAAATATTCAAAAAACATGTCTATTTAGAATTGTTTATTTTTATATTTTTAAAATAAATTTTGAATATTTATTCTACAAACATATCTAGTTTGTAAAATTTTTTTTTATCCTGTTTTATTTTTATTTTTACCCAATATTAAATTATCGTTCATTCATTTTTTTTCATCTGTTTTTGTTGTGTATCACATTCTCTATAGGTATCGCATTAATATTATAATATATAACCAGTTATTTTATTTTAGAGCGTTTATTTTAAAATTATGAAGAAACAATCAATTATAAACTCTTATTTTAAGTTAAAGTTAAACAAATGTCAAGCGACATCACCTCTACAAACTACTAGTAATACTACATCAGAAATTTCAGAAACTGATTCTTCTCATAGTTAGTATAAATTTATATTATTATTTCATGACTTATATGATATTGATATAGGGCAATATTTGTATATTATTATTTAATATAATATATATATTTTATATAAGATAAGAGAAAGACATTTATTATTAATATTATCATTTTTGTATAAAAATTTTAATTATTAAAAT